GATGTATTCATATTCATAGAAGCCTATTTATGTATCTATATATATATATCTATATATATATGTATAGATTTATATATATAAAGATTATATACCAATATATCTCCGTTCTATGGTATACGCATTCGAATGTCTTTGTTCTACTCAACCATTTTCTACTTTTATTACTGCAGGCAAAAGCTCGGTAAGAGTGCAAGAGACTCTCGAAAAGTAGACGAGGCTCCAGGTTTGAACGATGATAAGGATGGCACGCGAATCAAGAGCACGGTATCTCATGCTGATGCGACCATACAGAAAAGTGCAAAAACGGAACAGAAAAATGAATCAACTGTCCCTGAAATGGGGACTGAAAATGCCAATAGCGTTGCAAATGTGGCAGACATGAACGTTCCAGAAGAAACCGAACCTCAGGTATGTTATCATGTAATGATAACTGCCTATTTGTGTGACGGGTAATGCACGAAATCAGGATACCTCCGAAATTAATTGAGTGAAATTTGGATTCTCAGATACTTATTTTGTCAATGTTGTTCACTTCGGCAGAAAAAACTTAGGGAACGAAAGGAAAGACTGGAAGCTTGGCGCAAAAAGGCCCAGGCTAGTGGTACAAACGCAACTCTGCCTGTAAACCAGATCCCTGGTTCAGCTGATACAGACTCACAAATAGAGGCGAAGGCAAAGGAGCCAGAACTCGCAGGAGCTAAAAACACACCTGAGGATAAAGCCAAACTGTCTGAAAGCGAGTCAACTACGAAATCAGACGCAAACCCCAACACAACCGAAAACACAAGCACCACCTCAGCCCAGCCCAGAAAACGGGTCAGGCGAAAATGGGATTTGAAAAAGCCAGACGAGGCATCTTCGGCAGAAAAAGAAAGTTCGGCCCCGAAAACGGATGGCTTTGTGGTGCCTAAACCGGTATCGAGAGTGGGACAAGCCGATAGTGACGGCTCAAAATCTGCGAAGGTCGAGGACGGACCAGACATTGGCATGAGCAAGACGGGCTTTACTATGGGTACAAGACTCGTAACCAAGACAACCAAGAAATTGGGCGTGGGATTTGGCCTGAACAAAAAGGACGAGGGCGGTTGGACTAAGGGCCCTACTCTGGGTGGGCTGGGTGGATTTGGTACAAATCGGGTCCTGAAAGGGGTTACTGCGAAGAAAACGGGACTGGCAGGCTTCGCGATGAAGCCTAGCAAGACTGCCCAAGGGAAGACAAAGCCCTCGCTCATGACGCGCAGTGTGTTTGGTGGCGCTGCCAATGACGACGAGGATGACGGTAGGGCGTATCGATATTCATATATCCATATATACATATATATATATATATATATATGTGTGTGTGTGTGTGTGTGTTCATATATTTATATATATATATTCATATATACATA